ACTCCTTCCTCTCAGCATTTCCATACGATTTTCTGAGTTTCTACTCCTTCGTTCTGCATTGTTTTAACTTCAAACAAAGCAACTGTAAGTGTGATTTGCTACCGAACTTTGTGTTCGCTGAAACACTGGGGTTTGAAGTACCGCTACACCAGTGTGTGATTCGTTCTATCCTGAGAGGAAATAATCCATTACCTTGGGTACTAGGAGGGGATTAAATTCCTTAAGGAAACACTGTGAATTCAGTGGGCTCGAATTAATTACTGTTTCATTACAATAACTTGTAACGATAACTTATACTCAAAAATTTCATTTTCCCTCCATTTCTCATTCACCCTCTTTTTAAGACTATTTCTTCTTAAAAAACAAAAAAAAAAACTCAACAGAATATGCAAAACAACACAAGTTAATAAAAGAATCATAAAACTTCGCTTAGAGCAATGCCAACAGCTTTTCCTTAAAAAGTTATAACCATGAACATGAATATCGGTTACTTACATTTTGGGTTTACAATCCAAAAGTTTGTACAATTAAATTTCCAAACTTTCAAAACACGTGATAGAAATATAATCAAACCTAAACTTACGCATAAATTTAGGTTTCAAGTCCACTATTATTAGATTCTCCACATTAATTTACCTCCGCTCGCGGTGGTGTCTTAGTGCCTCCCCGAAATGTAAAGTGGTGTTATCGGGTTCAACTAAATCTAGTATTTTTTACGCGAAAGTATTACAATTCATTAAATGCAAAAGTTAATATTTAAAAACATACAATGAGTTCAATAAGTGGCGGATCTACATAGATCATTATGGGTGCTCAAGCACCCATTGTCTTTTACTAGATCTAGTAGATTTACATATGCAATTAACAAAACATTTGGATAAGTATTAAGCGAGCACCCACAACTAAACTTGTTTTCCCTCTTTTTAAAATTTTTTTATCTCCGAGCACCCACGACTTTGAAATCTTGAATCCGCCACTGAGTTCAATGCTAAAAATATTAAAGATCGAACCCATATAATTTAAATTATGAATCCGCCTCAGCCCTAAACTTGCTCAACCGAAATTATAGTGAGCAATTCTACGGTTCCCCTAATATTTTCACGTGTTTTTCCAACCCCGGGAGCCATAGCAACATGAGAGATTTGTGCGAGCATAGGTAGGTGGCGCGACCCTTGGGGCTTGTGGTACTGAGCCGCCCTAGTTGGTGGACGACTCCTCCCACTTCTTTGTACTTGGGGAGCAATTGGTACCTCGGCATGTGACTTGATTTTTAGCCTGTGTTATCAGCAACAACACATATCTGAGAATTTTAATTATCTCTTTCAATTCGTATGATTTGTGGCATTTTCATTGTTTTCACCTGTTGAGTTTTTTGTAATAGAAGAACATGATAAGAAAATATATAATTTCTTAACGAATTAACTGTTTATCCGATAAGGAAATTGAGTAATTCGTTCTCAAAATCGATAAAATATTAATTATAAAATTTCAATCCGTTCACCAACTGTTAATCCAATAACCCGATACTAATAAGCCAATTTTGCGGTTCAGCTATCGGTTACGGTTTTGAACAGCCCTCCTAATTAGCGGTGGAGCCAGAATTTTCCCCAGGGATGTCAAAAAAAATACTAAAAAGTTAATGGGAGTCAACGTATAGTAAATATACATAAAATAGAAAATTAATCTAGCAATACAATGTAATTTTCCGGCGAAGAGATTTCGATTGACAACCCTTAGTTGAACATGGCTTCGCCACTGCGGCCTTAAAACACTGGTGCACTTCTGTTTTTTTACCAAATCCTCACCCCCATTGTGCAATTTTAACAAGCAGATGGATAGAAAACACAAATGGCATAGATTATATATGAAGGAACACAATTGGAGATTAAAATTAGGTACTATATATATATCATTTTAGTCTTTTAGATGAGAAGAAATTTGGTTAAATGGAGTAGAATGCAGAAGAACAGCTAGTATATTTTTCCAGCTTTTCTTTCACCTTATTCCCATTATTCGTCCTTCGGAAGAAGAGTAATTACAGGAGTGCAACGCTAGTAAATGAACGGAATAGACTTCGATCGGCTGCTGAAGAGAATATGACAGATACAGTAATTTACCCAAGGCAAAATTAAAGCCAAAGTGGCGCATAATTAATGTATAGTATTAACAAATTGAATTCCTGGTTTTCTCTTTTGTGTTAACTTCAGTGTGAATTCTTTTTCAGTTGTTTCCTCAGAAGCACTGGCGCTTTTTTATATATGAAAGCTTTTAATGTCTACTTTGCTCGTTTTATCCTTATAGACATATTTTTACAAAAATTGCGCACATATTGAAACCCAAAAGCGAATAAAAGTACTTAATCAATTATTTCATACAAATAAAACAAATTATGTATAGCTTTAAATTGATACATTTTTACACTTAATAATAGTTAAGCAATTAATATATGGTATAAAAGACAAATATCTTTCACCTTAATTAGTAAGCAATGCATTCTTAGGTGAGCACATCTTTATATTGTTTGATTTATCATAAAGAGATAAATTTTTAATCTACCGTGAGTCCGTGATCCTTTTTCTTTAGTTATCTTAATTTAAGGACAATAATATGAGTATATGAGCAAACCTAAAAATAGCGTGGAGTTACTATCCAATTGGAATGGTCAGACAAAAATTTGAAATGAACGGGTGAAAACCAGATGAGTGGGTAAAAAAAGAGGCCCCAAAAAGTGAAAACGCGAAGTGGATGGGGAATAAAATGCCTGGAAATGGAATTCGCATGCTTCTGTCGATTTCCAATTAGAACAATATTCGGGCGTACAGATCTCTGCCACGTGTACCTTAAAAAAATCAGGCAATTTCCTAGTCAGTTAGACGTCGCTGTCGATGGAACAAAAAGCAGAAAGGACAATGTGTCGACAAGTCGGCGGCTGCCGCCATTCGCGGGTTGCTTTATTGTCCGCAGGTTTTAATCAGGCAACCTCAGTGTCTTTACCACATTTTCCCCACTGTTTTTTTTTCAATAAAAGCAACAAGCTAATCAAGCTACATATTGTAGTAGTAGACTAGTAGTAGCAGCAGCATCAGACGATTTAATTATTCCAGTTAAAATCGACTGTTCATAGAGTGAAAATTGGGGGTATAGGGGGTGCGAGTTCAGTTAGGGGTATAAATGGTAGTCTGTGTTGGACTGATCATTGGCATTGACCCCTTACATTGCCAAATGCCGTAACTGTATGCCTTTTACTCTAAAGTCTTTTTTACCCCTCCTTATTTGTTGCTTCCTGCGATAAATACTCCAATAAAAAATGGAGTTTTTCCCTTTTCATAAGCAATGGTGTTTCTATCTTCTGATTAAAATAAAGAGAGGAAGTATCAGATAATCAAATAGATTTTCTCGTTAATTTCTTAATTACAAATTTTATGCTTATTTCTCGTTTCTTATAGTAGATATGGCATTAAATTTTTGTAATACATTGACTCACTTTTTGTGTATTGGTGGTAACCGAATCTATTAACCTACATATTGCTAAGGTTATCATGTTCACCAGTGTTGGAGCGGACTTACACCTAATGTTGTAATTAGGATTTGAATATGTGATATCAGTGTAATTATCACTTATCTCAACAAATAAATAAGCCATCTCATTGGAATATAAATGGACTATTACATCACGTTTTAATGCAATATCAAGTACCAGTCTATTTCTTCTTTTTTTTCTTAAATATAATATACTCTAAAAAGAAAGTACTCACTTTATTTGAGTATCACTCTCTCATACTCACTATGTTTATTTTTACTTGTCCAGTATTCTAAATATAGATTTTCACTTTTACTTGTCACTTTTAGCATATCAAGAGAAGACAATTTCTTTTTTTCATGTTATACCAACAGTATTAATTACTCATTTCAAATCATTTTCTCAAATCTATTAAAAATATGCATCAATTAATATAGATATTATGATAAGTTATGCACTTTATTTATTATTTCTTAAGGGGTGTGCACAGTCTATAGTTGACAAGTAAAAGTGAACGGAGGGAGTAGTATCTTTTTTATTTTACTTTTGCAAAAACATTGTAGCAAAAAAATATTTGCGCATTAGAATACCCAAAAGAATTTTTTTTTTTTAAAAAAAATTCTACTTTTACTCATCCAAGAATTTATGATCATTAATTACTCATTTAAGGAGGAGACAAAGATAATTTAGCCAAATACCTTATAATAAATGACGATATAACTGGTTTTCTTAACAATTGTGCCGAAAAGCTCAAAACGTTAAACAACATATAAGTAGGACCAAAGGGAGTTAGCTCACGCCACATTTATGAACTTGTCTTTTAACTCATCCAAAGTCCAAATTTTAATTGAGTCAAGTGAATTTGGGCATAAGTTTAACATAATTCGTACACATACCAACGACTGATTATGTATAATATATATCATTATGTCAACTTGGGAATTATTTTATAACCTGCACATGAAATTGGTACCAATGGTTGGAATTTAACTTGCTGGTGAAAGATCTAATTATTGAGATGACATATGAAAATTCAAGTACGAGTAGTAAAGTTTCATTTCATAAAAGCCTTTTTAATTTGTTTGCTATTCATAGAAAAATTATGATAAATGAATAATTCACTACATTGACTGTCGTTGAAGAAGAGGAAAAGCATGTGACCTCTTTTTCTCATCCTTCTTCACGCAACAACAAAGAAGACAAAATACTTGTAAAAAATGTACAGAAGCTTTAAAGGACAGACAACTAAAGAAACAAAAAAGTGGCAAATCGGTCATTTGACCATAAGGAACGTAGCATGTTAACAGTAAAGCAAATCTCTGCAACAAAACCTGTCTCTTTGATACCCTTCTCTTTCATTTTTCAAGACAGACATCCTCTTTTCTTCTCCTCCCTCTTAAATACCCTTATTATCATACACTGTTTTCTTGTCACTTCTCAAACTTCACAGTTTTTTGTTTTGTTTCTCTAACCAAAAACCATGACATTCTTACCAAAACTCTCCGTTCTTGTTCTCAACTTTTGTTTTTTCTGGGTTTTCATGTCCACTACTCTTGTGTTTTCTCAGCCTGCTCTTAACATGGTGGAACAAGAATCAGTGTACAATGTTCTTGAGTCCATTAACTCTGAAATCCCGTGGCGTTCTCTGTTTCCTGATGATTTCTGCTCCTCTTCTCCACATGGGGTTGTTTGTGACTACTTTGTTCAAGAAAACTCAAACACAACATTTACTGCTCATATAACTGAGATTAGTCTTGGTTATGTTTCAGATTATGCTCCTAACCCACCTTGTACTCCTAATACTACTCTAAATGCTTCCCTTTTTGCTCCTTTTTCTTACCTCAGAAAGATCTTTGTTTACAAATGTTTCACTGAAAATGAGGTTTCTTTGTTTGACTTTGGATCTTTGCCGCCTTCTGTTGAGGAGCTGGTTTTTATGGAGAACCCGGGTCTTGTTGGGGCTGTAAGTGAAAAAGTTGGTAACTTGACGAGTATGAGGAGGTTGGTATTGAGTGGAAGTGCTGTTTCTGGGAAAATACCAGATGGGGTTGGTGGTTTGATCAACTTAGAGCAGTTGACACTTTCAAGAAACAAACTTGGTGGTGAAATTCCAGTGGGGTTAAAGACACTGAGGAAACTCAGGGTTCTTGATTTGAGTCAAAATGAGCTTGAAGGAAATGTTCCTGAGTCTATAGGAAACTTGACTCAAGTTTTAAAGCTTGACTTTAGCTACAACAAGTTGTCTGGGAAAATTCCTGAAAGTTTAAAGGGTTTGAAGAGTTTGGAGTTTTTGGACTTGAGTTACAATCATTTTGCCAATTTTGGGATTCCATTGTTTTTGGCAGAGATGCCTAGTTTGAGGGAAGTGTATCTGAGTGGGAATTTGCTAGGAGGGCAAATTCCAGAAATATGGGAGAATCTTGGGGGTATTGTAGGGATAGGATTATCAAAAACAGGACTAACTGGGAATATTCCTGCTTCTATGGGTGTATATTTGAAAAAGATTTGCTATTTGGGGCTTGATAATAACAAGTTGGAAGGGACATTACCTGAAGAGTTTGGGGCATTAGAACATGTTAATGAGTTGCATTTGGAAAACAACAATTTGAGTGGAAAACTTCCATTCTCTGCACAATTTGTCTCCAAAGTGGGAGAAAAGTTGAAGTTGGAAGGCAACCCTCATCTTTGTGCAGATGAAGACTTGAGAATTTCTAATGTTAGTGGTAGCTTGGGGCAACTAAAGTTGTGTAACAAAGCTGATGTTCCCAAATATGTCCCTTTCTCTAGAGCATCTTCACTGTTACCTGCTTCATATGTTCTTATTTTTATTGGAATTTTGTGTTTCCTGTGCTAGTAGATAATCTTGGACTTATACTGATTGATGACTTAAGGCTAGGAAAATTTTAGACTGTTGTTCTGGTTTCACTTGTTGATAGAAGATTTTTTGGGTTCTAGTAGAATTTACTTTCTGTCTTTTTCTTTTTCTTTTTGGGGTTCAAAGAGAAGCAACCAAGAGATGTAATTATTAAGTTCTTAATTTAAGGAATTTGCATATAGTAACATTCTTGGTTTTCTGTTTCAGTTTTTAACTGCAATGTTTGTCTGTGGTGTATGCGAAACAGATTGCCAGACCTGAAAGTTATGTTTTCCAGTGTATTGTCTAAGGACAAATCATATATTACTGTTATATTATCATTGGGAAAATCTACATGGGACAATGATGACAAACTACTACATTAATTAAGTAGCAAATGTAAGTTGGATACAGGGTAATGATGTATTGTGCTATGACTAGATTCAGACTTCAGAGTAATTGAATGGCAGAAAAGGAAAATAGGGAAAAAAACTAGGAAAAAGGAAACTGAATCTACATTGCAAACAAGGCATCAAAAGGTTAGATTGTAAATAGGTTCTAATCATTGTATAGGAAAATTTTGGTATATCAAAACAGGTGGCCAGATTTAAGTTAAACTACACAAAAAATTGACTGATTTCGAGTCCATCTTATATTCTTTGTTTTTCTTAAACAATGCCACTACTCTTTCTCTATCTCACTGTTTCTTGAACTTAACATGGAACTTTCACATCCTGTGTCTGTTCCATTATCCATTGGTGCTGTACTAGAAGAGGTGGTGGCTTTGGATTTAGAGGTTCGGGACGAGCCGGACCCCACTCCACCATCCTCCTTGGATTTCTTCCGCCTTGTTTTTTTGGGTATGTCCGGGAGGTCCCTTGCTGGAGAATCAGAGCCACCATCACCTGAGCCTGGCCGGCTGTGTCGGCTTGACCTTGAACCATCGGATGGCTCTTTGGTGTGTCGCCTCCTGGATTTGGACTCTTTCTTTGGAGAAGTAGCACTACCAGTCCCAGTTTCTGATGAAGAATGGCGCCTTGATGTCTTTGACACTTCTGGTTGGTCATCTGGTAATGAAGAATTTGCATTTTTGTACTTTTGGTTTGCATCTGCAGTTAAATTAAATTTTACAAATGATATGCAGTAGTAAAATGTCATTATCAGTGTGAGAGGAAAGTTACCTTGAGAAACAAATTTGATATCGGGATGATCATTAGGATCTAATGGAGGACCCAAAGGGGCTGTATGAAATTTTCCAGGTTCTTTGAATTCTTTCATCTGCACAAACATATAAAGTGGATATCAACGGATGTGATAAAGTTTTAACATAAAACTATGAAAATCATTACCCAGCTGGGAGATTCAACGGATGGTCCATCCCATCCTATATGGGCAACATGCTTTACATCTGTAGGTAAACCAATCTGCATTTCTGCTTCTTTTTCCCCTTCTGCAATATCATTATGTTATTCCCCTCATTATTAATAATCTGACGAAAAGTAAACAATGAATTTGGGTCCCCAATACGTGCACATTTGAAACATGAACAATCACCTTGTAGTAATAATAAAAAGTAAGGAAATTAAATGAAGGATCATTGCTTACCAAATATCTGAGAAATACCTAAGGCCTTTAAAAGGCCTTTCACCTTTGTGGCCATCCTCAGCTGCTTTTAACTCTACAACTTTTTCTTCTTCTAAATGCTACTAAAGAAGATGTTTCTTTCACTCAAAAATCATGCATTTGTTTCTTGAATCTGGAAAAAATGAAGGTGAAGATAAATTAAACTCATATTTATATATGATATTTAGAGGAAAAAAGTGAAGATATAATTAGAATTTTACCAGCTTCTTCAGTAGGATGGAAGAAAGTGAATGAAATATATATATATATATATA